CCTTGGATCTCCTCAGCTTTGCGAGCAGTCCAGGCGTCCTGCATCTCGCGCAGTCGTTGCTGAAGCTGTCGGCGACTGCGGTAGAAGGCAGCTTTGTTGTCCTCAGTGGGGTGATCTGCGTAGGCTTTGTGTAGGCGGTTCTTCTAGGCAAGCAGATTGCTGATGGCGGGGTCGTTGTCGTCGAACCAGTCCTGGTGTTGGCGGGGAGCGCGACCGAGGACGGCGAGCGCCGTCGACTGGACCGTGTCTCGCAGTTGACACCAGCGGTTCTCCACGGAGGCGTTCGCGGCACCACCTCCACCACAACCACCACAGCCATCATCAATCGCCTCAACGTCCGCTGCGGGGCTCCAGTTCAGACTACCCATGTCTGACGGTCCAACCACGCGTCAGGCGACGTGTTACGAGAGGATGCGACTGACTCCCCAAGTCAGTGCACGTAGACTGCCTACTTGTGAGTACACTTGTTGAGTGCAGACCAGTGGTTTGCGAGCCAGGTTGCAATGGCTACTTCTTAACGTGACATATGCCACACTCACGCATGTGAATCTATCACGGTGTGCTTAAAGCCGTGGCTTGAAATTTTGCCGTCCGACGAAATAACTTGGAACTCGCAGTCAGCCCAATCTTTGTGTCTGTGTGTGAACTGGTGACCGACTGGTGGTCTAAGAGTGCGGCAGAAATGGCGGGCACAGTGAGATCTATAACTGTGGCTAATAGACATGAATGACGCTGAAATGCAAGAGTTGGATGAGGTCTGTTGCTGCATTACGCTGTTAGGCTTATGAAATCAGTAATGATCGGTATAAAGGTGCGAACGTATTTCCTTCGACATGACATGTGTTAAGTGGGCAAATGTCAGTGTTAATGCGCTCCTCTAGTTCGCTCAAGTTCTTTACTCACTTCGGTCATATATTCGTTGAGATTTACTTCGATTCTTCGGTTTACTTTCCCAACCAGAAAATAACTAATACAGCCATTTGCTCGCTCCGATGACACTTATCATCTATAGGTATGTTTAGCGGGCCTTTAAAGAAATGCAGGCAAACAGGGGTAAGGAGAAAGAGCGAATACCGGTTTCCGTTGTGGACGTTTGCGATTGCATCATGTCGGATGTGGTTGAGGAGGGGGATGAGGTCTCCTGGTCGTCATCGGACAGACCTGAAATGGACAAGAGGGCTTTTACTAAGGCATTTGCTGGCCTAATGATCAAATCATTAATGGCATTGGCTCTGTGATATGGTATGAATGCTATCAGCGTTGAAAGGCAGACATCGGTCGGGTGAAGAAAGTGTCGTGCGACAGAGGGCCGCGTTGGGGACTGACTGGAGGTCAGGAGGATGTGCAGAATATGTGAGACGGCGAACATTTCCGGAATCGAAATGGCAATCGTGGGCTCTGCGACAATCACCGAGAAATATTCCTGCCTGACATCGCCGGAACAATTTCAGCTGGCATTCTTCTCAGCGGTCTGAACAAACATCTGCAACAGGGTCTCCTGCCGGAAAGCCAGTGCGGCTACCGCCGTCATGGGGAAACCACCGACATCATATTCGTAGCCCGCCAAATGCAGGAGAAGTGTGAGAAGATGCCGACTCACTTCCGTGGCTCTGACATATGCCTTGGTCACGGTAAAACACAAAGGACTACGGAAAAATCATGCAGAAATTCGGCTGTTTCGAACGATCCACATCAGATAGCGCGTTCGCTCCTGAACCACCAATACAATCCTTCCCTTCCTCCTCCTCCTCCATTTGGACATATATTCCTTGAGCTTTAATTCTGTTCTTCTGCTTACATATCCAACGGGAACATTAAATAATGTTGAGTTGTCTCCTTATGCAGCCATATACTCGCTCCGAGGACATTCATCATCTATAGGATTATTTTGCGGGTCTTTGACGAAAGTTAAGCGAACAGGAGTAAAGAGTAAATGCCAATACCGATTTCCGTTGTGGGTGTTTGCGATTGCATCATGTCGGCTGTGGTTGATGAGGGGGATGAAGTCTCCTCCTCGTCGTTTTCGTCGTGGTGCATATCTGAAACGGACAAGAAGGATTTACTGGCGTATACGCTGGTCCATTTGATGAGGAGATTAGGAGGAAGCAATTGCAGAAGCCTGATGTGTCTTGCAGTGTTAATTTGATGGTAGGTAGCCTGATTGATTCGCATGAACCGGCCAGGTGAAACGACAGAATAGTGAGAATTTCTCCCGAGTTGAAAACACTGGAAAAGCAGGCTCAAATCGTTCTGCTAGCGGAAGCACTTCGTCATCAACGCATTCCATCCTTCTGCCTCATCTTCCCACTGGTCTCGTCATAAAATATGTTGCTGGCTTCAGTGACACACATCATTCTTTATACGCGTAGTTCTACATTTTCAGTCCTTGGCTAAATGCACGCAAACAGGTGTAAGTAGACAGTGCGAATACCGGTTTCCGTTGTGGGCGATTGCGATTGCGACATGTCGGATGTGGTTGATGAGGAGGATGAGGTCTCCTGTTCGTCATCGGACAAGCCTGAAATGGACAAGAGGGCATTAAATAAGGCATTCGCTGAACTAATGAACAATATCAATATGAGCATTGGTTCTGTTTAATGAGACGTGCACAGGATTACACGGACGCCAATATAGTCCATCTCTATAAGCCGAAAGGCAGTCGTTTGCTCCGCGACCATTACCGACGAATCTCCCTGCCTGACATCGCCGGAACAAATGTATCTCGCATTCATATCAACGGTCAAAACAAACATCCGGAATAAGGTCTCCTCACTGCGGAACCACCGACATAATTTCCGTCGTCCGCCAGCTACAGTAAAACAGTCAAAATATGCCGACGCACCTCTACTCTACCATCGTGCATACGACGAATGCCTTCGTCACGGTTAAACACGAAGTACTACGAAAAAATCATGCAGAAATTCTTCCGTTCACAACGATTCACATCAGAAAGTGCGTCGGCTGCTGAACAACCACTACCATCCTCTCACTCCGCCACGTCTCCCCCTGGCTCTCCTCCTCCTCCTCCTTGCCCTCATCCTCCCACTCCTACTCCTCATCCACTGCCTACTCCTCCGCCTCTCCTCCTCCTCCTCCTCCTCCTCCTCTTCGATCACCAGCACCAGCACCACCACTACCATCATCTATCGCCTCAACATCCGCTGCGCCGGCTCCCGTTCAGACTGCCACTCACACATTTCTGACGGTCCAACCACTCGTCAAGCGACGTGGCTTGAAAGAATGCTGACTGACTCAACAAGTCATTGCACGCAGACTGCCTACTTGTGAGTACATTTATTGAGTGCGTACTGGTGGTTTCCGAAGCAGGTTGAATCGGCTCCTTCTTAACCTGACCTACGGCACCCTGAGTCAGGTGAGATGTAGGTCACGCGACACATGTTGTCCGAAGTTCTGGTGCCTTTGTGTGGAGGGTCAGGTGGTGTATGTAGGGGCACGCAGAGAATGCCATTAGACATTGAATCCAGATAACTCACCGGCTCGGACTATGGCTGGGGCCAGTAAATGGGAAGGGAGAGAGAGGTCGACGCCTCAGCGCATTTTCCTCATTATTAACCGTCTGACGCGCTTGAATATATCAATGTGTGCTAGAAGCCGAGGCTTGGAATGCTGCCGACTGGCAGTAAAATGTGGTACTCGCAGTCAGCTCAGGTATGTCCGGTTGTAAGTCCACTTGATGCTACTATTAGGTCGCTCACTTGCACGCACGTGTAGACAACGTCCAGCATTCATTAACTGCCAATCATCTCTAACCTGCTCCTCTCCCAATATAGGCTCTTCCTACCAGTCACTGTCCGGCAACCGCCTAAAACTCCGAGTGTATCCCTGAGTTCATCAATGCACACGACAACTCCACTGCGCTCCCAACATACATGACCGGATGAATCACAAGCTTGACTCCTCTAAGGAGAGTCTCAGCCTGCAACCACGCAGGTGGCCACAAACACTCAACAAGCTAACCAATTGCTGTCAGGATTACCGCACCCACACAGTCACTTCTCTTCCGCACTTTTCCTCACTTCGTCTGCTACACCCTCGAGGCCACTACGTACGTACTCCTCATTACTTGCCATTGTATGCACCTATGTGTTTCTCCTTCCGGTGAGTTAACCACCAATCTCTTGAATTTTTCCGCTCGCATATTTCTCATTTCAACAACCTGTTAGCTTAGCCGGGGAGGGGATTTTCTCCGCTTCCCGTCTCTCTACACTTCCCCCATTCCAACCACCAGCCACCCACTTCAAATGTCCTATGACGTGAGCGACCGCAATCGCGTATCGGCCCATGCAAGCTTGTGTCGTTCTTTTAGTGAACAAAGCCGTAGCACATACTGGAGTTCGGCGGCCGTCTGGCATGTCTGAGTAGCTAGCCCTATGCAGCAATATGCTTGCTCCGATGACAACCATCATCTATAGGTCTGTTTTACCAGACAGGGGCTAAATGCAGGCATAAGTGTGTAAGGAGACAATGCCAATACCGATTTCCGATTGCATCACGTCGGTTGTGGTTGATGAGCTGGTTGAAGTCTCCCCGTCGTTTTCGTCGTGATGCAGATCTGAAACGGACAGGAGGGTGTTTACTGGCTTATGTGCTGGTCTATTTCATGAGGAGATTAGGAGGTAGCAATTGTGGTGGCCTTGCAGTGCTAATTTAAAGCCAGCTTGCATAATTGATTCGCATGGACTGGATAGGTAACACGACAGAATAGTTGCAATTTCTGCCAAGTTGAGAACAGTTGCAAAGCAGGCTCAAAACGGTCTTCTAGCGGAAGCACTTCGAATTCAACGCACTCCATCCTTATGCTGTTCCACTGACTAACTGCCTCATCTTCCCACTGGTCTCGTCATACAATATGCTGCTGGCTTCATTGACACACATCATTCGTTTTATCCGTCCGTCTACATTTTCAGTCTTTGGCTAAATGAAGGCAAACAGGGGTAAGGAGACAGTGTGAATACCGATTTCCGTTGTGGACGTTTGCGATTGCATCACTTCGGCTGTGGTTGATGCGGGGGATGAGGCCTCTTCGTCGTCGTGCAGATCTGAAATGGACAAGTGCGACTTTACTGGCTCATATCCTAGTCTATTTCCTTAGTTGCATTTACAGTCAATCTGATTTTCGTTTTGTCTCCCGACTTTTACTAAGTGCTTATTTATATTAATCTCCTTTTCGCTTTTCCCAGATTCTATTCTCGTTTCATTTGTGGACAGCTTACTTCAGCGTATCCCCTTTAAGCCACTTCTTTTTGAAAACAATTTAGACAATCTTTCCTTACCTGGACAACGGCGGGGCGGTCCGTATCCTAAAATGCAAAAAAGCGCTCTCATTAATCCCGTCCTGATCATCAGATTATTTTCGCATTTCTAGTTCTTTCATAGGCTCTATATCTTCTACTGAACAATCTCATATTTCATCTGCGTCTCCGACATTCAAATTCCCTTTCAGCATACAGGAGGAGCAGGATCAATTGCGTTCGTAAATTGCTTACGGAAGACAGACAGTGTTTTGACAATTCAACTCATTTCCCTCAATTGGTGACTTCGGTACGCCGAGGACATACGTCTCAGCCGTACACATTGTCAAGACCTAGACAATGTCATAGGACTGAAGACGATGACATTAACTGAGAGGCATACAACCAAGACAGTCCACAATCACAGCGTGCATGTTGCTTACCCCAGACAATCTGCATGGACATATGACTGCCAGGCGCATCACAGAAAATGTATTGGTCC